CCTCCTGCTATCTTCTTCTTCTTCTTTTTTTTTTTTAACATATAATGTATTATTTGTTTCAGAGGTACAGATCTGTGATTCACCAGTCTTACACAATTCGCAACACAACTTCCCCTGTACTCTTAATAGGGCGTGTTAAGCTGGCTGGTGTAATGAAAAGTGGCACGGACTTTGAATTAGAAAATTAGGCTTCTAGATCCTACTTTGCTAATGAATAGCCATATGACTTTGTGCATATCTCCTTTGTCTCACTCACAACATTCTGTGACTCTGCTAAGACCTCGGCACCTGATCTAACACAATCTGACCAACATTTATATAATCCCTAGGAGAAAATTTGTTTTTACTAAAAGCAAAGACTTTGAGCACAGTAATTTTATAAATTATGCACTGCTCACAATGCCATGAAGATTTATAATTTCTGGTTGTCTCACATCGTATTAAACTGTCAGACATAACTGTGTAAATCCTAATTGTACATTTTATATAGAGTCCCTACGTGTTAGAAGAATGTTTCCAACTACTATAAAGAGCCTTGGTGTTTGCCTATGGCCAATATATTACCATATTAATCGGAACATTACTATATTACTATATTAAATAGAACCATTGATGGCTATTTAGTGGCAGAGTTCTTTTTTTTTTAAAGAATTATTGAGTGTATTGACTTATTATTTATTGATTATATTGTTTTTTTTCCTTTGCTGGATTGTAAGCTCTGTGATAGCTCTGTGTGTCTGCCTTGCTTACAGATGTAACTATAAAATGTAGTATAATGCCTGACATATAGACACATAATAAATTTTTGATGAATAAATGAAACAAATAATGAATTAACAAATCCCTCATTTGTCAACCTGTTGGCACATCATAGAACCATAGTCCTGGTACTGGTGGGATAATTGAAGTTTGTATGGCAATCATTATTTCTATTGATATACATGCTTCAGGTTTGAGTAAAGGTGGAATTAAGATACCTGGTTAGCTGTAATGCTCAAGAAATTGATCACCTTCTGAGATTAGTGAAATAGAGTCATTTCAGTAATTTGGGATTGTTTAGAGCCTTGTGTATATAATCTTTATTGTGGCCAGCTTTAATCATGCATACCAGTGATCTGTTGGAATCATGCTGCAGAAAAATTTATCTTGGAAAAATTCTCATTTATTTGGTAATTAACTTCTAGATAACCTGTGGGTCAACCAGTTTTATCAGATTTTTTTAAAGCACAAAATTCCCTCAATGGAAAAATGTTCTCTTAGTGTATAAGAGGACTATCTTTAATCCTAGGAAATTTTAGAAGTATGGTGAAGCACAAAGCTTTTAAATAAACATTACCACATTTGAATTGTGTCAGGGAGTTTACGCAGTCATGTCTTGAGATTTGTGTTTTCTTAGTGCTTAATTACCAGCTAAAGTAGATATTTTAGCTGATTTTTCAGTAGCTAAAATATCAAATATCAAAGATTTACTTCTGTTCAGTTACTCTGAAAAACAGACATTTACTTTGGAGATAGGCTACAGTAGATATAGCAAAACTAGAGCAACAATGAATTTAAGAAGCATTTCATAATAAATTGAATTTGGTTTCTCATACTTTAATTATATTGACAAAAGTAAGAAACAAATATCTGGTTTTTAAGTACATTTTTGTGTAACTGTAAACAGGCTTTTCTCATAAGCCAATCTTTTGATGTGTGTGAATTGAATTTATGTGGAACATTTATGAACTTCTCTATCATTTATTATTGATCTAGAAATGCCTAAAACAACCTAGAACTGCAGAGTGTGGCTTCTCACATGGATACCAATGATTGAGGTTATTGGTTTTGCCATATGTGTAGGATTTGATAAGTTTAGGATCAAAAATAGAAGTATGACACATTTCAAAACTTTGAATGCCTCAGAACATCATAATTATGGGTGTCTACGAAAATACAAAATACGAACTGGTTAATTTTTCCCAATAGTCTTTCAGAAGTCATCTTTTTATTATACCTACTTCGCTCGCTACAGTCTTACAAGACTGAGTGGCTTACATGCTCCTGAGTAATTCACTCTCAGTATCAACAATAAACAAGGACCTTCCCAAGGTCAAAGTTTATTTCAAATTAAAACCTATTCCAGTAGGTTGATATCATTGCCAGATATTTTTTAAAGTGTGAGTGCATTCTCAGCTATAAATATTTTGAAAGCTTGCTAAAGTATTATTCCTTTTTTTAGATACACTATTCATATTGGGGCAGTTATATGCAACTGCAGATAGTCATTTTAAATTAAAAAGCCTTTGTCAGAATTACAGTTTATCATCTATAGACATGTATTAGCTTGACAAATAGTAATATATATTTGGGATTACACGATAATGTAGTGATATCTATCATAACTGTTTAATATATGGAAAACCTTTAAAAATCATCACTGAAATCACTGAAATTGTTCAAAATTTTAAAATACTGGCATCCTCTCATATATGAAATTTTTATATTTTAGAGCAGGTGATCTTCTGAGAGCCAAATCCTGCCCAACTACTGGTTTTATTGGAACATGGCCATACCCAAGTATTTATGTATTGTCTATGGCTGCTTTCATGCTACAATGGTGCAGATGAGTATTTGTGACAGAGAGGGCATAACCCGTAAAGCCTAAAATCCTTACTGTCTGGCCCTTCACAGAAAAAGTTTGCTGTTCTCTATTTTAGAATGAGGAAATTAAAATAGGAATTAGACAATTATAATTTGAAGGTATGGATTTTAAGGATTCTTTAAGGATAGAAATTTTTTTTTTTTAAGTCAT